TGAACAAACTTGGTAGACATTCACTAGAAGATGTTTCATGCCAAATATCTAAGCTCTAGCTCTTACAGTTCTTTAAAAGAAGATTTTTTAAGTTTTTACTATATGCATATAGGGAAAATCAATGACCCCCCGGGGTGGGGCCAATTTTGACCCCAGGGCTTTTATTTGAACAAACTTGGTAGACACTCACTAGAAGATGTTTCATGCCAAATATCTTAGCTCTAGCTCTTTGGGTTCTTTAAAAGAAGATTTTTTAAGTTTTTACTATATGCATATAGGGAAAATCAATGACCCCCTGGGGCGGGGCCAATTTTGACCCCAGGGCTTTTATTTGAACAAACTTGGTAGACACTCATTAGAAGATGTTTCATGCCAAATATCTAAGCTCTAGCTCTTAGGGTTGTTTAAAAGAAGATATTTAAAGATTTTTCTTTCGGTTGCCATGGCAACCAGAGTTCTGTATGGAATTAAATTCTTTGAACAATTTTTAAAGGTGACCACCAAAGGAACATTCCTGTGAAGTTTGGATGAAATTGGCTTAGTGGTTTATGAGGAGATGTCATTTAAAGCAAAAGTTTACGGACGGACGGACGCCGGACGAAAAGCGATCACAAAAGCTCACCCTGTCACTTTGTGACAGGTGAGCTAAAAAAGTTGACCATCATTTGGACTTTCATGAGTTGGCCATGCTAATCTTAGAATAAGAACATAAATAAAATACAACATTATACAAAAGGTAGTACAAAAAATACAATGATCAAAAGTTTGAAAGTGAACACTTGTTGGTAAAATAAACAAGAATTTGTAACAGAGATACCAACGTCCCCCGCCTCAGGGAAGTTTTATATGAAGCAAAAAATTGTGCTATTTCAAAAGATTGAGGCAGGGATCTAAGGATTTTCAGTCCAAAATTATGATCAATGCTGGATCTGCAAATGCAACAATAAATTTATTAAAGAAATAAAATGAAATACTGAATTTCAAAATATATCATGTTAAGCTTTGCAGGGATTTTTTGGCTTATTTTATAGCCGTTATTGGGACATATTCCCAATTGAAAATAGTATATTATTTTCCCAATCCAAAGGAAAATATTCCCAATTGAAAGTTACAAAAATATAAATATTGAATAAAGAATTCTAAAATCTTTGAAAATAAGGGCTTCTTTACTGTAATAGTGTTTAAATGTTTGAAGAAGCCATCCTAGGCAGTGATTGCTTGCATACATTTAATCACTGCAAACTTTCAGTCATACATTTTTTCCCAATTTTAACAAAATATCGCTGAAATTCCCAGTTGCATGGGTATGGGTTATGTTCCCAAAATCCTGGAAAAAATCCCTGCTTTGACCTCTAAGTGTGACCTTGACCTTGGAGGTAGGGGTGCAGGTGTTGTGCATGACATATCATCTTATCATTGTGACTATTTGTGCCAAGTATTTTCCAAATCCCTTCATCTATGAAGAAGTTATGGACGGGGCATAAAATATACCATATAACAGACTTTGTTACCTTTATACATGTAAGTGTGACCTTGACCTTGGAGGCAGGGGTGCAGGTGTTGTAATTGACATATCGTCTTATTATTGTGACTATTTGTGCCAAGTTATTTCAAAATCCCTTGAACTATGAAGAAGTTCTACATTGGACACAATATATACCCTTTAAAAGACTATGTTAATTTTTTACCTCGAAATGTGACCCTGACCTTGGAGGTAGGGATGCAGGTGTTGCGCTTGACACATTGTCTTATTATAGTGAATATTTGTGCCAAGTGTTTTCAAAATCCTTTGATATACAAAAAAGTTATGGACCGGACAAAAAAAATACCCTATAACAGGCTATGTTAATCTTAGACCTCCAAGTGTGACCTTGACCTTCTAGGTTGGTGACCGATTGTTGCGCATAACACATCATCTCATTGTTGTGAACAATTGCGGCAAGTATTTACAAAATCCTTTCAAAGATAAGAAAGGTATAGACTGGACACGAGATATACCCTCAAATGGACAATGTTGACCTTGAATGAGCAAGTGTGACCTTGACCCTGAAGGTAAGGGTCTGGTTGTTGCACATCATCGTCTTATTATAACAAACATTTGTGCCAAGTTATTTCAAATTCCTTCAATAAATGACAAAGTTATGGACCGGACACGAAATATACCCTGTAACAGGCTATGCTAATATTTGACCTCCAAGTGTGACCTTGACCTTGGAGGCAGGTGACCTGTTGTTGAGCATGACACATCTTCTCATTATTGTGAGCAATTGTGGCAAGAATTTACAAAATCCCTTTAGAGATAGGGAAGACCAGACACGAGATATACTCTCAAAAAGACAAGTTGACCTTGAATGAGCAAGTGCGACCTTGACCCTGGAGGTAGGGGTCTGGTTGTTGACATGACTCATTGTCTTATTATAACAATCATTTCTGCCAAGTTATTTCAAATTCCTTCAATAAAAGCTTGAAGTTGATAAAGATTTGTTCATACATATTTCAACAAGATTGTTGAACAAGAGGGCCATGTGTATATAGGCCCCTGGAGCGGGGCCAGTTTAAAACCCAGGGCTTTTATTTGACCAAACTTGTAAGACACCCGTTAGAAGATGTTTCATGATGTTAAGTTTTTACTACACACATATAATGTAAAACAAAGACCTCTGCACCACCCCCCACCCCGGCATGGCCAATTTTTATACAAGGGCTTAAATTTGAACAAACTTGGTCGACACCATAAGATGTTTCATGCTAAACATCTAGGCTCTAGCTCATTGGGTTTTTTAAAAGAAGATTTTTTAAGTTTTTACTATACACAAATAGTTAAAAACAATGAAACCCCTGGGGTGGGGCCTTGTACACACTTACCAGAAGATGTTTCATGCTTAATATCTAAACTCTAGCTATTTAGGTTTTTTCAAAGAAGGTTTTTAAGTTTTTGCTATACACATATAAGGAAAATCAATGACCCCCGGGGAGGGGCCAATTTTGACCCCAGGGCTTTTATTTGAACAAACTTTGTAGACACTTACAAGAAGATGTTTCATGCTTGATATCTAAACTCTAGCTATTTTGGTTCTTTAAAAGAAGATTTTTAAGTTTTTACTATATGCATATAGGGGAATTCAATGACCCCCTGGGGCGGGGCCAATTTTGACCCCCAGGGCTTTTATTTGAACAAACTTGGTAGACACTCACTAGAAGATGTTTCATACCTTTAAAAGAAGATACTTTGTCTAAGCTCTAGCTCTTTAGGTTCTTTAAAAGAAGATACTTTAAGTTTTTTTCTTTTGGTTGCCATGGCAACCAGCGTTCTATGAACAATATTTAGAGGTGACCACCAAAGAAACATTCCTGTGAAGTTTGGATGAAATTGGCTTAGTGGTTTATGAGGAGATGTCATTTAAAGTGGACGCCAGACGAAAAGCGATCAAAAAAGCTCACCCTGTCACTTTGTGACAGGTGAGCTAAAAATAGTTAAGTGATCTTATTTTCCTGGTGAAAAACTGGTGGCTCAATAAAGTTCTATACATATTATGATATTTCAAATATTGGAAAGTTATCTCTAGTTCTTGGTGAAAGACTGGTGACTAGTTTTCTCCTCAATGTCATTTCTTTTTCTAATTAGATTAAGTCATGGTACTATATTCATGAGGCTTTCGACATCACATCTAAGAACTCATTATCCAACATTGCAAAGGGCAGGCAGTCTCCTGATATTCCAATTTCTTTTAAAGTTTATAAAACCACAATATTTCTATTTCTTTAGTGTTTCAGACATGAAGACACATCTTATTCTACATGTATCTTTCCTTATCACTCCTGCTTTTACTGTTCTATCATATAAGCGCCTCTGTTTCCTGAAATATTTGTTTAGAAAAAGTTAATTGCAAAATTAAAATTCCACTTGTAAACCCTTACCGAGAACGAACTTACAGCAGTGAAAGGCTTAAAGGTTTAAAATCAAGAAACTAAACCAATCAGTCACAGACACCCCAAGTATTTTATCTATTTGCTAACCAGCAATTTTTTCAAAATTATTTAAATTCATAAAGCTATAGACAGCTAAGTGATGATAAGATGATCATATATGTCAGATATGTTGGAGTGCTAACACTACTTACTGTGAATATTCAATATTTTAATGTGAATTGTCCTGAGGTAAAAAGGAAAAGAAAGCTGAAATCCTAAATACATGTTACATGTCACAATTGTTCTTGCAATTAATTTTGTTCCTAATTTCTTGTATAAGATATTTAAATACACTGTAATTCTTTTTTATAAATTTGGCTTTTTGTGACAATAGTCTATCCAGTGACCGAAGCTCACTGACTTAAAATAAACTGTCCTGTGTCAGCTTTTAAACAAGTCAAGAAAAAACTAGAAATGTGTCCATAGGACACGGATGCCCCCACACGCCACTGTTCTGTCAATCTTATGACTCTAGGTCTAATATTTTTTGGACTACATGTGCCACAAGTTGAAAACTAAAAATCAACAAAGGGCCATAATTCTGTTAAATTTGGTCAAAGCAAAAATTCCTTCCTTTACTACCATCTCCACATTAAGGTTGTTAATCCCTGGAAGTTTAAGCAAAATCTGCCATCCGGTTTAAGAGGAGTTGCGTTCACAAAATTTCTACATAGTATATAATGAAAAAATCAACAAAGGGCCATAATTCTGTTAAATTTGGTTGCAGCAAAAATTCCTTTCTTTACTACCATCTACACATTAAGGTTGTTCATCCCTGGAAGTCTAAGCAAAATCTGCCATCTGGTTTAAGAGGAGTTGCATTCACAAAATTTCTACATAGTATATAGTGAAAAAATCAACAAAGGACCATAATTCTGTAAAATTTGGTCGCAGCAAAAATTCCTTCCTTTACTACCATCTACACCTGTAGGTTGTTCATCCCTGTAAGTTTAAGCAAAATCTGCCATCCGGTTTAAGAGGGGTTGCGTTCACAAAATTTCTACATAGTATATAGTGAAAAAATCAACAAAGGGCCATAATTCTGTTAAATTTGGTCGCAGCAAAAATTCCTTCCTTTACTACCATCTACACATTAAGGTTGTTCATCTCTGTAAGTTTAAGCAAAATCTGCCATCCGGTTTAAGAGGAGTTGCGTTCACAAAATTTCTACATAGTATCTAGTGAAAAAATCAACAAAGGGCCATAATTCTGTTAAATTTAGTCGCAGCGAAAATTCCTTCCTTTACTACCATCTACACATTAAGGTTGTTCATCCCTGTAAGTTTAAGCAAAATCTGCCATCCGGTTTAAGAGGAGTTGCGTTCACAAGATTTCGGGACGTACGGACGGACGGACGGACGGACTGACTGACGGACGGACGGACGGACAAGTGCAACGCTATATGCTCCCACATTGTGGGGGCATAAAAAGCTATTAGAATATAATAATTAAGAAATATCATATACAAATACTTCTAAATAATCATGTACCTCTTCCTTAAAAGCCCATGCTATTGAAAGAGACATTTTTTCCATTTGTTCACTTCAAGGTTAGTCAGATTGACAGTCTCACATTTTAGCCTTTATCTCTCGTGATTTCATTGTCATTGACCCTAAAGCATCCTTAAAATCGATATCCTGCTGTTCACATTCATAAATCTGACATGTAGGCCGAACTTCTGAAACATAAAATATAATTATTATTAGATATACATATAGTATCCCAATAATTATGTTAGTTAATATCAAATCAATAATTTAAGCAGTGTTCGAAATTAGCAGTAGTCCGAGAGTCCGACTACTAAATTTCTCATTGGGCTACCAACTTTTCACAGTAACAAGTCCGACCAGGCTACTGTATTTTCAGAGGCAATATAAACAACTGTTTTGAACAAATGAATCGCGCTAGTGAAATGTCTTTTGGACAAGTGAATATTCCAATTCAGTAGTCTGACCAGCCTAGATGATTCAAATCCTAATTTCTTACACTGTTTAAGAAACAATTTGTTCAAAATTGTCCAAGCATAAAGATTTTTATAGTATACTATAGTAAATATAGTGTATATACAGTATGTATTAAATGTCTTTACTATCTACTATACTGTCCTGAAATTTCAAGAAAACAACTATCTTTAAAATCCATTTTCTCAGAAGTTGCAAAAAACCAAGTGAATGAAATTGCTCTGGGTTTGTATTATTCTGTACAACTTCTGAAAAGCTTCAAGGACATTTATGAGTGAGTCAGGTCCTATCCTGAAAGATTGTTGTTCAAGTTTGAAGACAATCCATTCAAAAATAACAAATTATAGCCACTAATAGCATAAATCAAGAAAATTTAGACATTTACCTTGAATGTTAATATGGTGGTCAAGTTAATTTAGTTTAGTCTGGTCTATTTGAAGGGTTGTTGTGGCCAAGTATGAAGACAATACACCAAGATCTGAAAAAGTTATGAACAAGGTTAAAGTTTGATGACAGCAATGGGAAAGCCGTCATGACTAACAATATATTTAATAATTTTGGCCCTAATGCAAACTGAAAATTCTAGCCTATAAACACTGTTGAGACTAGCTGTTCAGCATTTTTTCAATAATAAATAAATGCAATGATAAAGTCGGTAACTTGCAAGTCTTCTAACATTTTTACAAAGAATGAACATATATACAGTGATTTTTTTACAAACTCATCAGTGTGGGTCCTTAGTACTCGCTGGGCTATAAATCTATGAGTCCCATAATTTAGCCGAAAATCCAAGTTACAAATCTTAATACTGCTTAAGTGATATGACAGGTATATTAACAATGGAATGGAGAAAAAAATGAATTTGATTTCTATATTAATTACAATGCTTCTGATACTGAAATTATTCAAAACTGTCAAATAAATTTAATATGTTTATTTCCATTAATTTAGTTTGATATTAATCAAAAATTCATTTTCCTTAATATTTTTAAGCTTACCTATAGTATAGCACATTATTATATCTTAGCTGGACCTAGAATATGATTGACATAAGTTGAACACTATTTGGTATTAATTTTAATACCAAATTTCTGTCAGACAGGACTCCCTACTTAGAAAAAGTATGCATCCAAAAGATGCACATTATTTGAAACTTTGCATCCATAGCAAATTCATTGAGTTCTGGACTCAGGATGCAAAGGTAAAAAAATCACTGATATATATTTTTTCCTTATAATTCTACAATGATGTTCAGTCATTTATATTATAACAAGATATCGGAAAGATTATAGATATATCAGAAATGAATTGGCCCGTGGACTTTAATGTCAATCATAGAGCTCTTATGCAAAATGTAATGGTAAGCAAACATCCAGCATGAAATTTTCAAGTAGCCACAAGTTAAATAAAATTATTAAAAATACTTTGTCATGATTCAATTACTGCTGGAAATTGACCCACATGTTTTATTACAAATTTATTACATCAATATTGTCCATAGAAATAATAAATTAATTTTCAGTCTCTTTCTCTTTGCGCTTTCACACAGATTTGAATTATTCAAGTCCATGATTTTCAGAAGGAAAAAATCTTCTGATCATCAAACACTAAAAATTACTATACCAACTGCAAATTGCAGTCTGTGCGAAAGGCTGCCTGTCCTCGGACCTCGCCAAATAAAAATCAAGAGGGCCATGATAAAATTTTTATACAGTTATCGAATATCAATTGTACACAACAGTTGAATATAACATATTATAAACTTATTTCTATGTTAATAGATAGTCTATATACAATAGAAATGAAAAAGCAAATCCTTCACAACAGTCAACACTGTAAATTCGAATCAGGGTCAGATTGGCCCTTAAACGTATTTGGCCCTCGAGACAGCTCGGCCCTATTCCAACTCAGCACGGGTCAACTCGGCCCATAATTACATAATTACTGATAATGATTACTTTTCTTACTTTTGATATGTTTTCATCATAACTGTCATGGTTTAACATTTTCACACTAACAGACATCTACTCAAGGATATTGAAAAGTATGTGAAATTGTAGAGAAAGAAAGAATTTACAATTTAAACGCATTTTATGCTACTCCAGATTTTTTTGTAAAAAATATCGTTAAACAAGCATTTGCCATATTAAAAAACAAACAGTATTAAATACAATAAAATTCATTGTCACAAAAATTCAATCTAAAAACTCTATTTATTGATTAATATTTAACATATATTGTCTTGATATCTCTTCTTAAGATAATTATTTATCTTAAAGATAATTTCAAACAATATTTTATTAACTAAACAATCTAAACAATCTATATCCTAATAGGCTATATGGTTTTAATAGAGGACCGAGTTGACCTGTCCCGAGTTGGTATAGGGCCGAGTTTACCTGTAAATTCAATAATGTAAACAATCCTTGACCTAATTTCGTTTGTCTAACAAATTAACATCTGCAAACACAAAACGATTTTGAACAAAGAAATAAAAGCATTTCCACAAACCTTTGCGATGTTATTCATCAGCAAATCTATGTCTTGGATGGAGAAATCTGAAAAACACGAACGTTATTCTGTCGATGGTCCGAACAATGGCGGGTGTGCCCTACTAGTCAAAACCAAGTTTTACCAAATTGCATCCGTTAATTCCAGAATACCTTTGAAAAAAGACTTGTATTGTTATCTTGTTTTTTATTATTATTTATATAATAATATTTTTGTTTCAAACGCTTTGATTCTATGAAAGTTTGCGAACCATTTTTTTGCGAAAATAGTACGTTTTTTTAAGGCCACATATTGTATCCATTGTTTCCTCTTGAGTTATTGACGTAAAAAAAATCAGCGGTGGCATAAAATGCTATTCAATAAATTGCTAAATATATACAATAAATACTTTCATTTCCCTTCGGTTGACTTACATGTGAATTTTTCAGCATCTCTGCTACAAAATTACACCTTATTTATATTCAATTTATTGTACATAGGTACATGGACACAAACTTTTCTTTGGCCTAATGCGTAATAATACTGATGTTTTTTTTTTCGTACACGTTTAAGATTATGTTCCATTGATGTTAGCTAACATTGAATATCATCATTTCCAGTTTTTTTGAACATCAGCTTTTTCTTCAAGTCATCCACGTTTGAAAGTATACATATAGTTCTGCTGCACTACTTTCTTGGTCGCATTAACTACTTATTTTCTATTGAGCTTAAACAGAATGCAATTAGGTGTTGTTCGTTCTTTTTGATATAGGTGCAGACCGATACTATAGAAAGGAAATTTTTTTTTGAAAAAATTTCCTTCCAAAAAGTAATTCTAGAAAAAAAATTATACTTTATATATAATATATAGAAAATCGATTGGGGACAGATTGCACGGTTGTGTCCGACCTAGCAAAAATACGATGTTTCATCCGAAATATCGGTTTGTTGTTCAAAAACGGTTTAGGTGGGGACAGTAATGTTATGATCAACGTCTAGTGATGTCATTTAGCTGCAATTTAATATATAGCTTTATATAATTTACGCAAGAATGACTTTGCAATTTTGACTTATACTGGACTAGGGGCATTCGGCCGATTTGGCGAGTTCAACCCCTTGTCTATATATTATATATAAAGTATAATTTTTTTCTAGAATTACTTTTTTACACTATCCCAACACTGTGCCTGGTCCCTTTGATGTTAAGGTCATCATTCTATTTACAGCTTACGGATACATGTGCAACAATAAAAAACCATGGACTACAAAATGATTAATAAAAAACCCCGAAGAGCACGATTAATTGACGGAAAAGACTATTTCATTTGAATATGTTTGCATTGCGAAATTCTCCAGTTGCTATTCATTGTTCGCGACATTTCATTTTTGATAATCAAAAACCCTCATACCAATCGGAATGATCGGCTATTCTGACCGACGAAAAGGCCCGAGAAGTTGCTGTCGCCCTTTCACACATAAGGGGCATCGCGCTTCGGCGCGGACGCCAATAAACCCACGTGTACACATCCACAAGTCGCACGAGATCTCCAATTACTGAACCGTAAACACCCATCCACCTATTGACCTTTTCAGTGCCACACTTGTGAATTTGTACCACGTAAATTGCTGTATAAACGCTAAAGTGATTGTTCAATTTAAGATGTGATGACCATCAAATACAAGTATATCATCTTAAACTGTTCCCTTTGTTGATAAAATAATACTAATAATCTAATTTTAGTAAGTACCTTTTCCACAATTTATATTCATACCACAATCTGTATGCAAACTGCCATGTGTATTCATATTCTATTTTTGTCTAAGTGAATAAATCATGTTGTTCTCATGTATATGTACTGTAGAACCTGATTGTATATAAAAGTGTCTGTCTGTCTGTCTGTCTGATTTTGTTATATTTTTTCTCTTTCTTTTTCTTGTAGATTACATTAGGTCATTATGGATACGTCTAAATTAATAAATATATCTTTTCATGTAAAAAATTCATACAGTGTTGCCCTCACATGTTCACGTGGCTGTTTATTATTATTTATTATTATACAAATGTATGTGTCTCATGTTTTTGTATTGTAATGCAAACGGGGATATATATTCAATAAAAAAAAACACAGAAACAGAAATACATGTATAAACAATAAAACCCCATTTCACCCCGTAAATTTCTTTGTTTCTTGAACTCGTAAATCTGTTCACGTGTTTATTTAAAACATAGCTTACACGGACACGATCGTTTTTGTTTGTTTATTTGTTTGTGTTATTTTTTTGGTTTCGTTTATAATTATTATTTTTATTATCATTATTATCATTATTATTATTATTATTATTATCATTATTATTATTATTATTATTATTATTATTATTATTATTATTATTATTATTATTATTATTGTTATTATTATTATTTTTTATTATTATTATCATTATTATTATTATTATTATTATTATTATTATTATTATTATTATTATTATTATTATTATTATTATCTTGAAGAGGATTATAAACCTTTCTAAAACATTACAGGTAGAGTTTCATTGTAAATCATAGTCACATATTAAAGAAATTATTTACAAAAAAAACAACAACAAAAACATCATATTTTGTTATTGATTGGCCCAATAAAACCCAAAAGATACGGTTTGCAAATATTTATTACAAATAGATATAAAAAGGTATTTCCTATTTTATGCGACGCGCCCAGGTTAGCAATACATGTGTTTATAATTCCCGCGTAAAGACGCGGAGGTGCTTGGGATAATCACGTGACACTGTTACGGCAGCCATGAAATCAAAATTCCAATTCAAAGTTTTTTTGCATCAAGATTATCAATGAGTACTATTTGCAAACTTTTTCTCTGATGTTTTTTCATTGGCTGAAACAATCACGTGATCAATTCACACGAAGGTGTGAATTAACTACATATGGTCATTAAAATTACGCCTTAAATCGGACATATAACAATTTTATTTACAAATAATTTGAGAAAACAATCCCAGAAGCATTTGAAATAAAAAGAATCATTGCAAAATCATAAATGCATATAAATTGTAAATTTGTGTATGACAACTCACCCCCTAAACAAAAAAAATGGGCCCGGAACTCAACCAAAAAAAGTCGTTCTTCTTTCCCTTTTCATTTTAATTTTAGTGCTGAAAACCCGAATTGGCAAAACCCAAATTTTAAAAAAGGGTTAACCCCCTTGGGAAAAATCAAAACACTGAAAAAACTGAAGAAATTAACATTGGCCCTTTTAATAATATAATAATATAATTCCCTTTTTGTCGTCAAAGCCAAAGTTGGGTTTTCATACTTACCCCAAAAACATTTGGGGAAACCCTCTTCTGACCCCAAGGGGCAATTTTCCTTTAAAAAGTTTTACTCACACCAAAAGCCTTTTTTTTTCCAAAAATTATTTTTGAGACAAGGAAAATTGATTTTTCCATTTTGTGTATTTCTAGGGCCCCAAAACTGATGGATGATTTAAAAAAGTAATCATTTTTTAAACAAACCCTTTAAATTTGACTGCAGTGTAGAGAATTTTGAACAATAATATTGATTTTCCTTTTTTGTTTAGGTTGATGCTTAAAATTTTTCAATATAATTATATATATATATATTATCACTATCTTCACTTACTATTTATAAGACCGAGTTGAGTGGCATTATTTCATGCAGTCAGTTTTTAATATGTGCACTATGTAAAGGCATAGTAATGACTATTTCCAAACAACAGAACTCAAGGGGTACCTAAGTTATATATATAACTATATATTTAATTTTACCATAGGTGAAAACATATTGACAATAACATAAAAACCCCATTAAAAATATATACATTTGTGGGACATATATCATTTACTACGAAAAACCGGCCTACGGGCACTATGTTAGAAGGGTAGCCTACGCCCCCATACATCGTTTTTAAAACATGCCAGAGTTGCGAGGCCTTATGTATGCCCCACATTAAATATAAACCCCACAAGTATGGTCTCAAATAGACCGATGCCCCGTAAATGGAGGAATGTGACTGTATATATATATATTCTGATGTGTTGTATTCATATCACACATTAATTTTCAAATGAATTACTTTATCTTTTATTAATAAAAATGAAATCTATAATCAAATCTATTCAAATGTACTGTAATATTTTCATTATTCAATAATTGTTACATATATTCTTCATAATTATACAACCTTTCCAAGAAATTCATTTATATTGGACAGCAAGTAAACAAGTTTTTTTCATAATCAGGCTGTGTTACCAACTTCTTAACTTTAGATGGACCATTCACATAATATTGAGCTAAACACATTTTCCTATGTTTGGCTACTGTGACCTACTTCTGATTTTCAACCAAGGTGATCCATGTTCAAACTCGGACCAAAACCTGTCACACACATTCTTGGCAAGTTTTGAGACAATTGGGGCAAATGTGTGACCACTAGAGTGTTAACAAACTACATGACCAGTAGAGTGTTAACTAAATGTCATCGTCGGATACAATATAACATGACATAACTGATACATGTAAATGATTCGGCCGTGGGTATCCGACGATGCTAAATGTGGACAGACCACAGTTGACATAAGATGGATGACCGACATTCAACAATTCTTAAAGCTCACCCTGAGCCAGCCTATAAGTTTCACGACTGAAATTAGTAATAAGAGAATAAAACTAAATACTGCGTAATGATTAGATTATGTGTAGCCATTATATCAGCAATAAAGTATTGCTTTTCTATATATGTTCTTTGGTTTAAACATATTTATTCAACAAAACATTTAACAAGTGAACAATATTTTACAAAGTACATTTTGGGATTGGTCAGAAAGCTATAAAGCTTATGAATGTCCTCTCCCAGATATAATAATTTACAATAACACAGTTCATGGTATTATCATACACAACGGTTAGTTGAAGTATTCAAAGACATTCACATAATAGTTAAGTATTTAACAATGTAACATATGTAAGAGCAAACAGTAAAAAGGAGAAAAAAGAAAAAAATTGATTGAAGAATAAAGCAACTCACAAAAAAGTACAAATAGACAAACACCTATTTTAGTTGTTGTTTTTTTTTTTTCGTTTTAGAATTTAGTAAGAAGTAGCAAAATAATATCTTATATGATTGCTTACAGCTGTATATTTAGCGGATACGCACA